GTGGAGAGGGAAAGATGTCTTTGGTGGTGGGGTCGGATTGCAGATGGCGGAAGTGTCGGAGGATGATGCGTTGGATCCGGAGGTTGGTGGGGTGGTACGTGAGGACGAGGGGGATTCTTTTTTGGTTTTTATTGCGTGGACGGGGTGTGAGGGATGAGGTGCGGGAGATGTGGGAGACACGGTTGAGGGCGTTCTCGACCACCGAGGGGGGGAAGTTACGGTCCTTGAAAAACGAGGACAACTGAGATGTACGGGAGTGGAATGCCTCATCCTGGGAGCAGATGCGGCGGAGGCGAAGGAATTGGGAATAGGGGATAGCATTTTTGCAGGAAGGTGGGTGGGAGGAGGAGTATTCTAGGTAGCTGTGGGAGTCGGTGGGCCTGAAATGGATATCGGTTTCTAGGTGGTTGCCCGATATGGAGACAGAGAGGTCCAGGAAGGGGAGAGAGGTGTTAGAGATGGTCCAGGTAAACTTAAGGTTGGGGTGGAAGGTGTTAGTGAAGTGTATGAACTGTTCGAGCTCCTCGTGGGAGCACGAGGCGGCGCCGATACAGTCATCAATGTAACGGAGGAAGAGGTGGGGTTTAGGGCCGGTGTAGGTACGGAAGAGGGATTGTTCCACGTAACCTACAAAGAGGCAGGTGTAGCTTGGGCCCATGCGGGTACCCATGGCTACCCCCTTTGTCTGTAGGAAGTGGGAGGAATTGAAAGAGAAGTTGTTGAGTGTGAGGACGAGTTCGGCTAAGCGGATGAGGGTATTAGTGGAGAGGGACTGGTCAGGCCTGCGGGACAGGAAGAAGCGGAGGGCCTTAAGGCCATCTGCATGGGAAATGCAGGTGTAGAGGGACTGGATGTCCATGGTAAAGATGAGGTGTTGGGGACCAGGAAATTGGAAGTTCTGGAGGAGGTGGAGGGCGTGGGTGGTGTCACGGACATAGGTAGGGAGTTCCTGGACCAAGGGGGAGAAAATGGAGTCTAGATAGTTGGAGATCAGTTCGGTGGGGCAGGAGCAGGCGGAGACAATGGGTCGACCAGGGCATTCAGGTTTGTGGATTTTGGGAAGGAGATAGAAGCGGGCAGTGCGAGGTTGGGGAACGATGAGGTTGGAGGCCGTGGGTGGGAGGTCACCTGAGGTGATGAGGTTGTGGATGGTTTGGGAGATGATGGTTTGGTGCTCAGCGGTGGGGCCATGATCAAGGGGGCGGTAGGAGGAGGTGTCGGAGAGTTGGCGTCTGGCCTCGGCGATGTAGAGGTCAGTGCGCCATACTACAACTGCGCCTCTCTTGTCCGCGGGTTTTATGGTGAGGTTGGGATTGGAGCGGAGGGAGCGGAGGGCTGCACGTTCTGCGGGGGAGAGGTTGGAGTGGGTGAGAGGGGTGGAGAGGTTGAGGCGATTGATGTCTCGACGGCAGTTGGAGATGAAGAGGTCGAGGGAGGGTAGGAGGCCTTGGGGTGGTGTCCAGGAGGAGGGGGTGTGTTGGAAGCGGGAGAAGGGGTCAGTAGAGGGAGGGTTAGGTTCATGGTGAAAGAAGTAAGCGTGGAGGCGGAGGCGGCGGAAAAACTGCTCTATGTCCAAGCGTGAGCGGTATTCGTTGATCTGTGGGTGGAGGGGGACAAAGGTGAGCCCTTTACTGAGGACTGACCGTTCGTCCTCAGTAAGGGGTAGGTCTGGAGGGATGGTGAAGACTCGGCAGGGCTGGGTGCTGCTGTCTCCTCTGGAGCTGCTGGCTGTGGAGGCTGTGGGCGGAGTTGCGTCAGCGTCGGCTGTGGGCGGAGTTGCGTCGGCGTCGGCTGTGGGCGGAGTTGTGTCGGTGTCGTCGGTGGGCGGAGTTGCGTCGGCGGTGGGCGGAGTTGCGCCGGCGGTGGGTGGAGTTGCGTCCGCATCGGTGATGGGCGGACCGGCGTCGGAGGTAGGAGGAGCGGGGTAGGCGGCGGCAGTAGCGGTGAGGGTGGTCGCGACTTAAGTGTCGGTGGCAACGGCAGCGATGGTGTTTGCTGTCCCGGAAGTGGGGAACCCGGCGGTGGCGGATGTGACGTCATCTGTGGGTTCTCCGATAGTGGCCTCATGGCCAATGGCGGCGGACGCATCGTGGGGAAGGTCCTGGGTACGGCTGGGGATTTGGGGGGTGGAGGAAGCCCGTTTTGGGTGGTAGGCACCAGTAAGTTTACTGTACTTAACGGTTTTTAGTGTCCAATAAAGCTGAGTAGAATTGTGAGTTCAGGTTGTGGATCCTACGAAGAATAAAAAACAGGAGAGGTCCTTTCTCTTTGTCACCACTGCAGATGTCAGATCGGTCTTCCTGAGAGTAAACCCGAGGAAAGCGACTGGCCCAGACTGAGTCCCCGGCCATGCACTTAAGATCCTGTGCAGACCAGCTGGCGGAGGTATTCACTGACATCTTCAACCTCTCCATGCTACAATATTAAGTCCCCATCTGACTCAAGAAACCCACCATCATCCCAGTACCAAAGAAAACATATGCAACAGGCCTCAACAACTACCACCCAGTGGCTCTGACCTCCATAATCATGAGTGCTTCAAGAGGCTGATCATGGCCCAGAACAACTGTAACCTCCCAGCCTGCCTCGATCCCCTGCAATATGCCTACTGACAAAACAGGTCCACAGAAGACGCCATTTCCCTAGCTCTGCACTCATCCCTGGAACAAGGCGATAACAGGGAGACCTACATTAGGATCCTACTCATCGACTACAGCTCCACCATTACAATCCTGACCAGACTAATCTCAAAACTCCAAGACCTAGGTCTCAGCTCCACCCTCTACAACTGCATCCTCAGTTTCTTAACCCACAGACCACAATCTGTGAAGATATACAACTGCACCTCCTCCACGATAATCCTCAACGCCGGCACCACACAAAGATGCGTACTCAGCCCCCTCCTGTACTCCCTGTACACCCACAACTGTGTAGCCAAATTCCATAAGAACGCCATCTACAAGTTGCTGATGACACCACTGTGATAGGCCGGATATCAAACAACGATGAGTCAAAATACAGGAAGGAGATAGAGGTCTTGGTGACATGGTGCAATAATGACAATCTCTCTCTCAATGTCAGCAAAACAAAAGAACTGATCATTGACTTCAGGAAGAAAGGAGGAGGACAGGCTCCCATCTACATCAACGGAGCTGAGGTGGACAGGGTCGAGAGCGTCATGTTTTTAGGAGTGACGATAACCAACAATCTGTCCTGGACCTCCCATGTAGATGTGACGGTTAAGAAGGCACAACAACATCTCTTCTGCCTCAGGTGGCTTCGAAAATTCAGCATGTCCATAAGGACCCTCACTAACTTTTACAGATGCACCACAGAATGCATTCTATCGAGGTACATAATGGCCTGGTACAGCAGCAGCTCTGCCAAGGACCGAACAAAACTACAGAAAGTTGTGTGCACAGCCCAGACCATCGCGGAAGCCAACATCCCATCCGTTGACTTCATTTACACCTCTCATTGCCGCAGAAAGGTTGCCAACATCATCAAAGACCCCCTGCCACCCCACACTGGTAATGCTCCCTTCCAACCTCTTCTGTCAGGTAGAAGATACAGAAGCTTGAACACACACCCCATCAGATTCACTGCTGAATGGACCTCTCTAACTACAAATAATGTTAATCTTGCTTCGTGCACCTCCTGTGCAGCCATAACCTTGACTGTCTCACTCTGTCTAAGCACTCTATGATCTGTATGCTCTTGCTTGCTGCGACCTGCCTGCACTGCTCGCAAAACAAAACTTTTCACTGTACTTAGGTACATGACTACTCATTGGTAGCACTCTGACCTCTCAATCAAAAGGTCTTGGTTTTTGGCCCACTCCAAGGACTTGGGTGTATAATTCAAACCAGGGAAGTATTGCAGGAAAGCAGCACAGTCGGAACTGCCAACTTTTACATGAGCCAAGACCTTGTCTGCCCTCTTGGTGTTGTAAAAGATTCTACGGACACTATTGCAAAGAGGATTAATGGAATTACTCATTATGTCTAGGGTAATTCTTTAAGCAATATCATTAAAGCAGATTATCTGGTCATGTGTTGTTATTGCTCATAGTCCTCACTTGAACAAATTGGCTGGCATTTTTTCTACTTTATAACATTGACCACATTTCAAAAGTATTACATGTCTCTGCCCTTCAATTATCTTGGGTCTGATGTACTGCCACTTCCTACCCATTTTGACATGTTTGTGGCCTAGCCGTTAAACTCCTGGACAGATCACTCTCCTACTCAGGATTAAAATCACCCCACCTCCCCCTTTATCTCTCTCTCTCTGCATTTATGTTTATGACTTCAGCCCGTTTCCTATCTAGATAGTTAGCCAGAGATAAGAGGAACTGCAGATAGTTAGCCAGCTGTCTTTTGTGATGTATTCAAACTAGGAAGAAACACTGCAACTGTCTGAGAAGATAATAATGAGTTTGGCTATTAAAAAAAACATGTGTGATTCTGCAGTAAGTTGTTGCTTACACTGGATGAAGAACTCTCCTGATCCTCGCTGCCTTCTTCCTCCTCAGGCAGGGTGGGCATGGTGGGAGCTACAATGCAATGTGGACTGCGAGTCAGAGAACTAAGGGAAGGACAAGATGGGTCAGCCCCTGGCAAAACAAATTGGCTCAGCAATGTTCGAAGGGAGTAGCATGGGGTGTAATCTTCGCCTTCTGATACCTGTTTGCATATAAAAGGGAAGGCCAGTCAAACTCACGTTAAAAGATGTGTTGTTTGAACATTCAGACACCAGAGAGGCTGAAGACATATTTCAGACTTCAAGTTCCAATTAAAATTATCCCTAAGGGAAAACAATCCATCAGCCAAAGAACAAGATACCCAATCCAAAAGAGAGCAGCAAAGGTGCTGACTGTTACATGGCTATGCCCAATGTTCATTGCTTGTGTATTCTTCATCACCAGCCCAATTGAATTCAAGATTCTAGGCAAATACTTGGAAATCAATGGATTACATTTAGAGCTCACTACATTCAGACCAATTAGAAGCTCTGCAGCATTGCTTTACCAGCCTTATTTTCCATGTAATAAATTATCTGCAATTACAAGTAGAAACGAGATAATTGGCAAAAGAACTAGAGTGAAAGTGAACAGAACAATTTCTATGGAGTGAGGGATTACAATCTGGAATGTGCTGCCTCTAAGGGCAGTGGAAGGAGATTCAATAGTAACTTCAAACAGGAATTGGATAAATGCTTGAAAACAAAAGCAGGGCTGAGTGGGAAGAGCAGAGACACAGACAATTGGGTCACTTTTTCAAAGACCTGGCACTTACACAATGAGCTGGAGGGGTTCATTCAGTGCTGTACGAATCTGCAATTCTAACGATTCTTCAACATATGTGTCATTGAAGTATTTGGATATGTTTGGGTTATTAGTGTAATAGGCATTAAAGAGGATCAGTGGGTGATGATCAAGCTAAAGTATGTTGTCAGATAAAGATCAGTGAATTAAATAAGCTGCTCCCATCCCTGTGGAATTCAAAGTGCAGCCTCCAGGAACTTATGGTCACAGGGGCCATATTCCAAACATGGATGAAGTATTTGAAAGATTCTGAATTTAGATCAAGTTGCCCTGGTAATCATCCGTACATTTGAGGAAGCGATGGGGAAACTTTAGACTTACTGCGGGTGCTGCAGACTGTGCTTCAGATTCTGGGCTTAATCTTTGCTCCTCAACGACTTCCTGGGAAGCTCTGTCTGAGCTGTTCCTTAAATTACAAAAAACAAAACAAAGATAAATGTTGATAGCTACTCCTACAAGCTTCAAACAGCAAAATAATTTATTCTTTTTGTAAATACCAGCCTCTTTTGTTAAGCTCTAGTCCAAGCAGTGCAGTATCCAACTGTGACACAGCGAGTAGCACCTTTGCCTATGACTCACAAAGCCATTGGTACAATCATATTTCAGGGATTTGAGCACGAAATTCAAGCTGATGGTTTCAGTGCAACTAATGGAGGGAGAACTGCACTGTAGTTGGACAGTACTGCAATATTGGCAGGGCAATATACTGAGAGACTGCCTCAGTGTCAGAGGTGCAGATGGATCACTGGAGGGATAGCCCTGAGTGAACACTACACTTTCAGACACATAGTACTAAGGAAGTGCTGCACTGTCAGAGTGGCAGCATTGAGGGTTAATACGGAGGGAGCACAGCACTATTGGAGAATCAGTTCTGAATGGGTGTTGCACCATCAAAGAGTTATTACTTAGGAAGTACCGTTGCTGCACTGAAGGATTGCGACATTGCGCTGTAGTTTTCATTGAATCGTTAAATCCCTACAGTGCGGAAAGAGGCCATTCGGCTCATCAAGCCTGCACTGGTCCTCTGAAGAGCATCCCACCTAGACCGACTCCATCCCCATAACCCTGCATTTACCATGGCCAATCCACCTAACCTGCATCTCTTTGGTCTGTGGGAGGAAACTGGAGCACCTAGAGGAAACTCACGCAGGCGTGGGGAGAATGTGCAAACTCCACAGAGGTTGGAATTGAACCTGGCTCGCTGGCATTGGGAGGCAGCAGAGTTAACCACTGTGCCACTATGCTTTGGACAGTCTATACTTAGGGAAGACAGTACTGAGAAAGCAGCAGTAATGACAGAGTGTTAAACTTTCAGAAGCCAGTCCTGAGGGAGAGTTGCACTGTTGAACAGACAACACTGAAGGAGTGTTGCCTCGCAGATGGAGAGTCCTCGCACATGGTAGTGCTGAAGAATCATTGCTGAGAAAATGTTACAATGTCAGAGAGGAAGTATAAAGGAATTTCTGCACTGTCAGAGTGGGAGCACTGAAGAGGATTAGTACTGAAGTAGTGCTGCTCTGTTGGATGGTCAGTATTGGGGAGATTGTAATTTCAGATGGCCAATACTGAGGAAGTACTGTACAATCAGATGGATAGCACTGATAGAGTGTTACAATTTTGAGGGTTGGTACTGAGGGAGTGCTGCCATCCAATGCTGCACTGTTATGGGTCTGCACTAAATTCTGCATCAGAGGAGCAAGGGTCCCAAGGGACCTGACCGGAAACTGGGACCTGACCGGAAACATCAACTTTCCTGCTCCTCCAATGCTGCCTGGCCTGCTGTGCTCCTCCAGCTCCACTCTGTGTTATCTCTATTTATAGCAGAGAGGATGTGTTGCATTGCCTAAGAGTCAGCAGAGAGGGAGTACTGCAGTGTCAAAGTGTCAAGACTGAGGGGCTCAGGGTCAGGGTCGATTAGCTTAGTTGGCTGGAGGGCTGGTTTGAAATTTGGATTGATGTCAATTCCCCCACCAGCTGAGGTTCCTATGAGAGACGCTACTTCTCAACCTCTCCCCATGCCTGAGGCCTGGTGACACTCAGATGAAACCACCACCAGTAACGAAAGAGAAGCCCTATTGTCTGGTAAGACTGTGGCAACTTTACATTTACTAATCAGCTGCTGCACTGTTGAAGAGTCAGTACTGAGGAAGTACAGTCACTTCAACGCATGATATAAGCATTAGTGTCACCATGGTATTCCAACCAATGAAATATTTCATTGCCTGGCAATTAAAATATAATTTGAGTTTTACCTGCTGTTGGTTTTCTGTGTCTGTCTGTCTTCAGTTAGCAGCTCCTTTGATGATGAATGTTTCTCTCCTTCTAACTGACTTTGACCAAATGATAATTGTCTTAAACCCTGTAACTTTCGAAATGATTGACAACTCGATGAATGTTCTAGATTAAGGGCATCTGTGACGTTAAAACACAACAAAAATAAATTCTGACTGGATGGTAAGTCTATTGGTTGTCAAGGTGTTGAGTCAGCAATCATAAAGAAACTAATATACTCTTTCTGGATCTTGTTATCTCCCAAATGACACCTTAGATTCAATTTGTGCTCTGATTACTGTTATCTGCAAAACCACTGGAGTAATAAGGATGAGCTAAACCATTCAGTTATTTAACTATTACATTCCACCTTGTCTCTGAATCAGGAGGTTTTAAGTGCAAGATCCACGTCAGAAACATGGGTTAGGATTTTATGCAAAGCATTGCCCAGTGCTTCAGCTGAAATGTTAGCGATGAATCTGACTCTGCTTGGCCAGGTCACCTGTACCTACTTTATAACTCTTAGGTCACTAGGTGGTTATGAGGCAGGATATCTGGCTTCAGTTCTGAAGAAGGGTCATTAGACCCGAAACATTAAGTTTGCTTTCTCTCCACAGATGTTACCAGACTTGCTGAGTTTCAGCAGCAATTTCTGTTTTTGTATCTGGCTTGAGGTTGCACTGTCAGAGGACAGCAAAGAAGGGAGTGCTGCACTGTCAGAGGGACTGTAATGAGGGAGCACTGCAATGTTACAGGATGAGACCAATGCAATGAAAAGATACTGCAAAAGCAACGGGTCCTGACAACATTCCGGTAAAGGTACTGAAGACTTGTGCTCCAGAACTTGCTGCAACCCAAGCTGTTCCAATACAGCTACAACACTGGCATTTACCCAACAATGTGGATAATTGCCCAGGCATGTCCTGTACACAAAAAGCAGGACAAATCCAACCTGCCAAATTATTGCCCCATCAGTTGACTTTTGATCAACAGTACAGTGATGAAAATGTTATCAACAGTGCTATCAAGCAGCACCTGCTCAGCAATAACAGCTCACTGACACCCAGTTTGAGTTCCACTAGGGCCACTCAGCTCCTGACCTCATTGCAGCCTTGGTTCAAACATGGACAAAAATGCTGAATTCCAGAGGTGAGGTGAGAATGACAGTCCTTGACATCAAAGGTCACATTCAACCAAGTGCAGCATCAAGGAGCCCTGGCAGAACTGGAATTAATGGGTATCAGGGGTAAACTGTCTGCTGGTTGGAGTCATAGGTGGCTTGAGGTGGGACATCCAGGCTCATGTGGGACAATGTCCTTCCTCCAAGTGTTGCCAGCCAAGCAAAAGGCCAGCACCTCCCTACTATTGGTAAAGTCACTGCAAACAGTGGACCTCTATAGAACTGCAGCAGTTTAGTGAAGGGGGTCTAGCTTGGGTTTGGGGTGGCAGTGGGTGCCTCTTTTGGGCACGTGGTGTCTCTATAGGAGACGCTCCCTCCCTCAGGCAGTAAAAAAAGGCAGCTACACAAAACAATACTGACACCTGCCAGGAGCACAGAGAGAACACGGCACTGTGGGATGGGCCATATTGGGGGAGCATTGCACTGTTAGAGGTATAATCTCACTGAACCATTTAAATTTCTGAAAGGAATACTGTGAGGCTCTTTCATCTGGCTAGAGAGTTGAGAACTAGTATTTGTATTTACCCAATATGGGGTTGGCCATTTTGAACTGAAGTGGAAAATTGCTTCACTTAGAAGGTAATGAATCACTGGAATTCAGGGACCAATGGATGCTCAGCTGTTGGGCCTATCCACAACAGAGATCTATGGATATTTGGACACTGAAGAATCAAGCAATTCAGGAATTGGGTGGGAAAATTGAATCCAGGTCAAAGATTAAACTTGATATCAATGAATGACAGATGAGGCTCAATGGTTTGAACAGGCAATTTCAGGAACATATTTTCCTAGTCTTTTGGGTGAATTGTTCAACTGAGGCCAAGTCTACATTCCCAGGTTGAAGTAAAAACCAAAGAAAAGCAGGGGAGTTTGCCTTGGTATCCTGGTTAATATCTAGCCCTCAATCTTTAGCACTGAAACATATTATTTTGTCATTTATATCATTGCTGTTTATAGGAAGATGCTATATATTTCCTACATTACAACAATGCCTACATTTCAGAAGCACTCCACTGGCTGTGCAAAAGTGGTATTAGAAATGCAATTAATTTCCTCATACCTAAGACAGATGTGTGCAGTTCCCAGCCTCCATGATATGAATACAGTCCACTGTAGATACTGAAGGACTGTGGCTCTAAATGGGCAAGGATCTCCTGAGATATAAGCCACACATCTGTTTCCTGTTTCTGTATTGAGAGAATTGATTTTAAGTTTGATATAAAACAAAAGTTAATTCATTACTTTCAAACAAACGATAACTTAAAACAGAGGGATTGTTGTTTTAGGGAATGTGTACATCTTATTCTGCAAAATTTACAAGACTGTGCTCTACTACTTTGTAATTTTGTGAAGGTGTTGTTTTGTGTAAGGAACTAGTCACATTCTTAAATGTACACTATTTGCCTTAGTCCTGGAGTGCTAAACACAGGAATTTCAGAATTGCTAGGTACATAAAAACATCCACGGTCTGTCTGCTCCACCTTCTACCATCTTTGTAATCATACAATAATGAAGCTACTGACTAATTACAGTGGTCAGTCTCTATCAATGAGTCTATAGCAGGCTCAGACAACAGGTAAAGAAAATCACCAGTAGTGGAAAGCTGCGTGAACCATAGGTTCCACCTCTTCTGTTTTTCTTAAGTCATGCTATACTCACCACATGTCATGCCGCAAGTTACAAATACAGTCATATTCCAGGACATTGAATGTGAAAGAAATCTCTTTAATTTGCATTGGAAGGAATCAACACCTTCTGTTTCTATCATTTTTCTCAGTATCCTGTTCTAGAAAATAAACCCTCAATGACAAACACTTTTCCCACAGATTTGTTTTAAATTTAACACTCTTCAAGCACAGGCCTTGCCCTCTGGCTTTACTATTCTGGATTGTCATGCTCTGCATTATCTCCAGTTCCGTTAGAGTCCTAAAAACAGCAATAGTATCATTTTGCAATATTCTCTCAATGAGAACTTGTCCAAATAACACAGGCACTTCGCATAATCCAATCCCTCCAACTCCTTAATCATTCTGGTCTCTCTCTTCTGTATCAATAGTTGCAGTCCTTGAACTTGGGTGACTATTGTGCACACATTACTTTAAGTCAATTTATGTCCATTAATAATGAGGCATTTGAATTACATCACCACTTTGGCTCAATACTAACCTGTTAACACTTCCCAACATTTGCTCTGCTTTACTCATTGGGACAGCATTTCATTCAGAAGCTTTTTCATTTTCTGCACACACTACTTTCTTTCCATTTGTTGTGTTGTTCACGCTCTGACTTACAGAATCATCTCTCTGGCTGTTTACTTCCCGGTTTTGCCTTTCATGGTCTGTGGCTTTAGTCAGTCAGCTCGCTATGTTCACCACTTACTTTCATGACTGTCCTCTGCCAGATGTGATCACAGTATATTTTCTGTTAAACATATGTTTTACCTTGGTCGGATTGTAATTGGAGTGCTGTGTACAATCCTACTCTCCATACATACCTGCTCTCATCCAGGTGTGGTGTGTCATTGCCAGTTGTGGTTGATTTCCACCTCCCTTAATTAGACCACATAAACACCATCACAGGAAAAAGATAGAGACTTGCATTTGGTCAACACCTTTCACACTGTCAGTGTCGCTCAAAGCTCCTTGGAACCAATGAAGTATTTTTGTCAAGTAGTCGCAGTTGAACTAAGGGAAACACAATATTCAAATTGTGCTAGAAAGCTCCAGCAAAGAGCAAGATTATTATTGCCAGATCACGTGTCTTTCAGGTGTAGCATAAGCATCATTGTGGGAATGTTTTAATAGCGACAATTGAACGGATGTAACTCAAACATCAAGTTACATTCTACCATGACCTTAAGAAGGGAGGAATGCAAGAACTATGTCACAGAGCTGTAGTCAGTATTCTGAATATTTTAATTTAAGTAGATTTTACAGCACCTACTGAGAAAATAATTACTAAGGTAAAAACAGAGATTCAGCAGAGTCAGAGTAAGCAGTCTATCTAAACAGAGCAGCCTTAAGAATGCAGGACAAATATCCAGTGCCCTGTGAGGGCATAATAATACAACCAGGGAACTATGAAAGAAGCACAATCCATGGTGACTGCAATATTAGCACAAATATGTTTAGGAAATGGGGGATTTTCCTATTCTTCTTCATAATACAGTGCCAATGTATCTTTGACTTCCACCTGAGAAGGCAGGTAGGAGGTTATGGTTTAATATCTCACTCAAAAGGCAGTACCTCTGACATTGCAGAGCTTCCTCAGTACTGCAGAGGGAATGTCACGCTAGATTTATGTGTTTAATTTTCTGGAGTGTGACACACTCCATAGTGTGAGTTCAACAAAATCAATAGACTCAAAGGAGAATATGTTAATACTGAGCCAGGGCTTCCTATTCTACAACCTCTGAAGTCTCTGTACACATCCATTTTGTCTTCTTGCTGATTTTTATTGCTCCTGTATTGGCACCTTCACTTTCAGCTGCCTAAGCTCTGGAATCCTCTCCCCAAACCTCTCCTCCAATCCACCACTTTCTCCTCCTCAGAGACCACCTTTAAAGTCTACCTCTTCGACCAACCTTTTAGTCACCTGTCTTAATATTGCTTGATGACATTCAGTGACAAATTTTGCTTGGTAACACTCCTTTGATACGCATTGGGAAAGTTTACTATTTATAAGTGCCTATATAAATGCAAATTTCATCGATCCAATGCCATAACATGACTATTGAGGAAACTCCAACAGTTGAGATGTTAGCCGTTGGAAGATATTTTCTAGTGGTTAAATATCAGGAAATGTCTGTGAAAAAGGTAATAATAATACTGTATGAAGTAAACAGATATTTTAAGGTTGCAAGATTTGGACAATGTCCAGGCTTGGGCTGATAATTGGCAAGTAATCTTTACACCATACAAGTAGCAGGCAATGGCCTTCTCCAATGAGAGTTTAATTGCGTCCCTTGACACTTAATGGCGTTACCGTCACTGAATCTCCCACCATCAACATCTTGTGTGATACCATTAACCAGAATCTTAACTGGGGTTACATGATCAGGTCAAAGGTTATGATTTCTGAGGCTGAATCATTTCTCCTCTAACTCCCAAAAAGCGCATCCACAAAGTCAGGAGTGTGATGAAATACTTGCCACCTGCCTGGATGTGTGCAGCATTAACTCAAGAAATTTGAGATCATCAAGGACAAGAAGACCACGTGTTTGATACTCCATTTAGCAGCCTAAACATTCACTCACTTCACCCATCAATACACAGCAGCAGTAGTGTATACTATAAATTGCATTGAAGCAATGCACGAAGATTTCTTCAATAGCAGTTTCCAACTTGTGGCCTCTACCACCCATAGAGGCAAGGACAGCAAATGCATATCAGCACCACTAATTGCAAGTTCTTCCTAATCTGGTATTAATATATTGGTTGGGGATCATCCTGGTGGAACTAAATTGCTGTTCTTTGACTGTTGCTGGGTCAAATGATGGCGATCGCCCTCTAATAGTACAATGAACACCCGTACATCGCATGGACTGCAGTGGTTCAACAAGGTAGCTCACCACCACCTTTGCAAGAGTGATCAGGGATGGGTATTAATAGCTGGCCTTGCCAGTGACATCAACATCCCATGAATGCATAAAGAAAAAAATTCACTAGCTTCATCACAGATCACAAACCATTCATTAATTTCAATGCCCATCGGGAAGGCAATGGCCTAGTGGTATTATCACTGGACTGTTAATCCAGAGACCCAGATAACATGCTGGGGACCTGGGTTTGAATTCCGCCATGGCAGATGGTGCAATTTGAATTCAATAAATATCTGGAATTAAGAATCTAATGATAACCATGAATCCATTGTTGATTGTCGGAAAAACCCATCTGGTTCACTAATGTCCTTCAGGGAAGGAAATCTGCCATCCTCACCTGGTCTGGCCTACACATGACTCCAGACCCACAGCAATGTGGTTAGCTCTTAAATGCCCTCTGGGCAATTAGGGATGGGCAATAAATGCTGCCCAGCCAGTGATGCCCTCATCCCATGAATGAATAAAAAGAAATTTAATCCTTTAGACGTAAGGCAGAGCTCATTCGAGATTTGGATTTATGTTCATGGGTTGAGAGTCAAAACCTTAGTGTGCTGATGTTTTGGAATTATATTTTGAATTGTGTGAAAACCAACTACTTAGTTCTACAGCGCTCTTGCCTCAAAGAATCTTAAGATTAAATCTCACTCCACAGGTTTAAACCTATAATCTGCAGCACTAATCTAATGAAATACTAAGGAAGATGTTGTCTTTGAAATGAGATGTTACACAGAAGTCCCACTTTTCCATTCAGTTAGATATACAACATCCCAGACATCATTTCAAAGAAGAGCAGGAGAGCTCTCCCCAGTAGCTGTGCTAAATATTTATCACCCAATCAAATCATAGATATCAGATTAACTGGTCATTTGTGACAGAAATGTTTGTAGAAACTGCTCTACCTAGTGGCAATTTCCACTGACATGAAGGAGGTAAGAATGGTACACACCAGTTTATTGGAAAATCCAGCCCTGTTTCCTACATTACAATGTCGTTTATATTTCAAAAACTGGCTGTCAAGTGCCTTAGAACTTCCTGAATCCAGGAGAGGTGCTAAATAAACGTAAGTGTTTCTTTCTTAATCTTACAGTCACAAAATAGAACATCAGTGAAAGCACTCTTTCATTTATGGTGACCAAGGACACATCCTCGCCAGGGTAAAACATTCCATCAATGTGATTAGTGTACTGATGATCACAAGTTGTGGCAAACTGTTTAGCAGAAAAGCAAAAATGTCACTTGGACATTCAGTTTCATAAAGTGCACCAAAAATATATTTACAGGATAAAAATTAATATTAAGACTGGGTCTTCAAAAAGCATTACATTGGGTCTAGAAGATTAAAATTAGTGCTAAGTGGCACAGCAATGATGCCAAGGTCCATTCAGTTTCCTAGTTGATCATGGAGGATTCATACAAAGGGTAGAGGAAATCTGGAACTTCACACCCAAAACCCAGGGACACATGATAAATTTAAAACTGAGTTAGATGGATTCTTAGATAACAAGGTGTAGAGCTGGATGAACACAGCAGGCCAAGCAGCATCAGAGGAGCAGGAAAGCTGATGTTTCGGGTCGAGACCCTTCTTCA